TGGGCAGGGACATTTTCCTCTATCCCAGGCTGCTCCAGCCTGGCCTTGGACATTCCAGGGATCCAGGGGCAGCCACAACTTCTCTGGGAATCCCAGCCCGAGCAGGAATTCCTCATTCCCAAAATCCCATCCATCCCTGCCCTCTGGCAGTGGGAAGCCATTCCCAAAAAACTCCAGATCCCTTTTTCCCATCCCAAGCAGCTCCTCAGATCCACAAGGATTTGGTGAGGAGATTGACTAAAAGTATTTTTTAGGGAAAACAGGGATTATCCTTTTTTTCCCAAACATCATCTTCTTCCCAATCCTTTGGTTCCTCCTCCCAGTCTTTGATTCCTCTTCCCAATCTTTTGATTTTCCACCTCCCAACCTTCTGACTCTTCCTTCCAATCTTTGATTCCTCCTCCCAAACTTTTAATTTTCCTCCCAAACTTTTATTTTCCTCCTCCCAATCTTTTCATTTTCCTCCTTCCAACCTTGATTCTTCCTTCCAATCTTTGATTCCTCCTTCCAAACTTTTGATTTTCCTCCCAATCATTTGACTTTCCTCCTTCCAAACTTTTGATTCCTCCTCCCAATCTTTTGTTTTTCCTCCTCCCAATCTTTTGATTTTCCTCCTTCCAATTTTTGATTTTTCCTTCCAATCTTTGATTCCTCCTCCCAAATTTTTGATTTTCCTCTCAATCTTTGATTCCCCCTCCCAACCTTTTGATCTTCCTTCCAGTCTTCTGATTCTTCCTTCCGTTTTTTGATTCCTCCTCCCAATTCCTTTGGAATGTTGCTTCCAGCCTCTGATTTCTTCCAAAGCTCAGGATTTACCCCAACCCCTTCTCTGGCTGAAGGATTCCCCAATCCCAAATTTCCCCCATCCCAAATTTCAGCTGAACACGGGAAGATCCCTGCCGATCAACATTTTGGGAAGGGCGATGAACATGATTTATTTTATAAAATCATGGAATGGTTTGGGTTGGAAGAGACCTCAAAACCACCCCACCTGTGAGCAGGGACACCTCCCACCATCCCGGACTTCTCCAAACCCCATCCAACCTCAGAAAATTCCAGAGGCTCCATCCCAAAAACTCACTCTCTTTTCCTCTGGGTTCATGAGCTCCATCTGCCCGTGAGTGTTTTTGAACCACAGGGGCGTGTGCTCCTCACAGATCTCCTCATCTGAGGAGGAGAAGAAGTTTTCCAAGGTTTGGGTCACTGTTTTCCCTCTTACAAACAGGGATTTGCCCTCCCTTTTCCGGAGGAGGAAGCTGATGGAATAAACGGACATCTTGGAGAAGTTCAGCTTGCCTTTCTCTTTGTAGCTGTGCCAGAGGTACGAAAAAGACAAAAAAAGGAGAAAAAAAATAGACCAAAAAAAGACAAAAAAAAAGACCAAAAAAAAGACAAAAAAAGACAAAAAAAGGCAAAACAAAAGTTAAAACTTACAGAAATCCCCTTTTTTTTGTGCACTATCCCTGGAAAATCGTCAGCTTTATATCCCAATTCATCCTAATAATGGAATATCTTTAAATCTACACAGATTTGTCCTGGTGGAAGCACAAATGTGTTGATTTTATACATTTTAGAGATGGAAAATTGAGCTCATCCCTGGAATTCCAGTGTGTTTGCAGAGGCAAGGAAAGGGATTTCCTTCTTTTTCTAGGTCGTGGCTCATTTTCCTTCCTATCCTCAGCTTAAATGTGCCAGAACTGGAGAGAAATTGGATCCTGAAAAAAGCTCAGGATAAGGAAATTGATCCTCTGGAAAAGGAATTGATCCTCAGGAAAAGCAGCACGTAGAGCAGTTGCAGCATTCCAGTGGGAATGGGAAGTGGGAAAACCTCCCTGAATTGTGAATTTCCACCTCCCTGTGAGGAGCTCCTTGGCTTTGGGGTGCTCCCATGGATGCTAAAATCCCTGGAGCATCCCACTCCCACCCATCTGGAAACCATAAATGACAAATTCCCCCCAATTATTTGTGCTGCCTCAAATCCTGGAGCTTTCCCTCAAAACCACTTCCCCTCCCTCGTCCTTTCCCTGCTTCCAAAGGAACTGGAATTCCCCACTCACTGTCTCCCAATGCTTCCAAAAGCCAAGGAGTGGAAGGTCTTGCAGGTGACATTCCTTGGAAAAACCTTTTTCCCCTTCTCTGCCACAGCTTTGTTAAAAGCCAGGTAAAGGAATTTCAGCTCTGAGAATTTCTCCGCGTACTTGACCAAGGTTGAGGTTTTCCCTGTGCCTGGAGAGGAGAGGAAAAGAAGGAACAAAGTAAAAATAAGGAATAAAATATCCACCATCAGGAATTAACGATTCCACATGGATTTTTTTTTTTTCACACCTCCTTCTCCTGCTGTCCCAACTCCAATATTCCACTTCACTCCTGATTTCAGAGAATCAGGGAATTATTTAGGTTGGCAAAGCTTTTTAAGGTCAAGCCCAACCATTCCCAGCATTTCCAAGGGCATCCATGTCCCCAGGTGCCACATCCATAGGATTTTAAAATCCCTCCAGGAATGGGGACTCCAGCCTTGCCTGGCCAGCTGTGCCAGGGCTGGATAAGCCTTTGCATGGAGGAATTGTCCCAATATCCAACCTAAACCTTCCCTGGCACAGATTTAGGATCTGCCACTTCAGTGTGGATCCCTTTTCCACGGAGTGGAACTGCTCCAGCCTGGATCCCTTTTGGGCTCAATCCTTCAGGATCTGCTCCAGCCTGGATCCCTTTGGGGTCAATCCTTCAGGATCTGCTCCAGCCTGGATCCCTTTTCCATGGGCTCAATCTTCAGGATCTGCTCCAGCCTGGATCCCTTTTGGGCTCAATCCTTCAGGAACTGCTCCCTTTTTCCATAGGGTCAATCCTTCAGGAACTGCTCCAGCCTGGATCCCTTTTCCATGGGCTCAATCCTTCATGAACTGCTCCAGCCTGGATCCCTTTGGGGTCAGTCCTTCAGGAACTGCTCCAGCCTGGATCCCTTTTCCATGGGCTCAATCCTTCAGGAACTGCTCCAGCCTGGATCCCTTTT